TCTGTGCTATCTCCACATCTCATTCTTATTATTGCAATAAGGGCTCTCTCACTATACCATTAGTAAGTTATCAAAACCATAGTAGGATTTATTATATTATTTGTGTGGCATATGTATTATTAAATTATACTAAATTAACATCATTGAGGTTTAATAACATTATTTATGTAATATATACACTGCTAAATCTAAAATATTTACAATTTAATTTTAAACTGCATTGGTCATAAATGAAAATACTTATACTAGGCTTGGGCAAAAAATATAGATATATCGAAATATCTATTAAGATATATATCGTCGATATTTTAAATCGCGATATTTCGATATATGGATATTTATTTTAGAGTATCGAATTCGTATCAATTTCGATATATTTTAAAATGTTGTATCGTGTTTTTCATCGTCTAACCGTCAGTAAATAAAATTTTTGATCTTATCTTTACATCATGCAAATGTTGACGATATATCGATATAACGATATTTATCACGCGATTTATATCGATACTGTTTATAAATATAGATTCGATATATATATCGATATATTTTTCCCCTTGCCAGTATATTATACTCGTGACAATCTAAGAAGCCCGATTTGACAGCTATAAAAATACTTTGGGTAATGATGGGAAAAAAATTGGTTGCTTTTGAAAACCGTTTCTCGAGACATCGATTATTTATAGTTTGTAATCAATGTATTTACATCGTTTAAAATTGATTCTCAAGGCATATCGTTTTCATACATGTACGAGTTTGTAATATTTAACAGTTATTACATAAATCCAAACTAAGTTTAAATTTGGGCCAGTTTCAAAGCCAAGACGCAAACTAAAATCCGACATACATTGTATATTATGTAGGCACGCCACTGATATGCATCCGTACGAAGCCGAGGGAGTCGCTAGTCAAGAATAAAATTAACAATAAATAAGTGTGGTTGGGTCAGGTAAATAAATAAATTCACTGAATTCGTAACATTTTTATTTTCAATTCTTATCTTAATGCCAACAAACAATTTTTTATAAAACCTTTCCCCGCAGATCCAGCATGACAAATAATGAGGCGTCCACCCTTTCTCATTGGAACTTTTGAGCTGGATGCTTGCGTATCATACGTCCAAGATTGTGGCACAGTATGATTAGTATTTAAACATGTCTCGTCACTAAATATATCCTTGCCCAGTTGGTTAATACTTCTCTTAAGAAGGATACTCTTTGTAGTATTATGAAATTAATTATTACCTTTCCATCAATATCTTCCGTTTGTCGGTTTTATTTTGTATGAAAGCCCAATATTTATTAGAATTGTTTTTATAGATGTTGAACTGCCATCATATAAGTTTGCAGATTTAAGTGACACAAATAATTTACTTATGGTGGGGTGTTCTTGTCTTGTCTTGTGTAGCCGTAAACATGGGATCTAATAGCATCAGCATCAAAACTATCGATACCAGTCACAGGTTCCAAAAGGCCCGTGCTTTATCTTTATAATATTTCGGACAGTTTTTATGCCAATTCCAAGCGCTTGTGCGACTCGTTCTTGTACTTGGGTAACTTCTAAAAGAGGCCCTCTATTTGCTGACTCCCGTTCAAAGTACTCGTGCAACTTCAAAACCAAGTCACGAGATTGGCTGTTAAGAGTACGTCCTCTTTTATACATATTGTCTAGTTCACACGATAACACCAAAATCACGTAATGCGTAATCAAAGTCCGGAATTAGCAAGCCAAGGTCAACGAATATAGCAAAAACAGTGCAAGAGAGATAGCCGAGTCAGAAAATATAATAATAACCAATTACACAAAAACTTCTAAGATAGCGAGACACCGCGCGAAGCATTGACGAATCAATGACGTAGAGAGAAAAAATGGAGGTTAAAATATATTTTTTCAAGTTCAAACTATTTCCAATATTAACATATTAAATATCAAAGTAAAGCTAGAAATATATGTGTTCAGATTTTGTTTTTATATGTTTACATATTAAATAATACGTTTCTCTCTTTTCTAAATGTAAAAGTATAGATTTTTCAGAACATCGACTTTATTTGGTCAAAAAATGGTTTGTGGCGGGTGGAAGGAAAAAGGGAGATCTCCCGCCGGGCAAGGTGTTCTGCCCGGGGAGCGACCGACGCTCTGAGTGGTAGTTCGGAGCTATTCTATATATTATGCTGCTTTAACTTCGGAACTTTGTTAGTGCGATTTAAGCTTCGATGTGTTTCGCTTATGGCGTGACGATGGATGGATTCGTAAAAGCGAGTTTATTACTTCGCTTATAGCACTAATGTTATAGATATTATAATATAAGCTTAGGTGAGAAAAACTCTTTGTTATATTTTTTGTAAGTACAAACCCTCAGACGAAATAAAAAGTCACTGTTTTATTTGTCTGAGTACAAACCATGTCTTTATTCCCATATAATAGAAGAAAACAGGAATTAAGTAAAACACTGCACTGCACTTGCTAGGGCTATTAAAATGGCCCACAAAGGGCGGGACAGACTAGCGATTAACCTAATCTATTACAAAATTTGATTTGCAATAGGTACCTATCATGTCATGATGTTTTGTTTTGTTTAATCCATACTTTATAAGTCATACTTACATCAAAGTGATCTTCACAGAAGTATAGTTTAGATTTTGTAGACAATGCCTTCGGGTCTCTTCTTGCCAGTTTTAACCAAGTATTTCTCATATTTAAATCAGTTGGCACTTTAATCCATAACTTCCCCGGCGTTCTTATGCTCGTATTTTTGCAATCAGGCACAACACAACAATGATATAGATAATAACTCATTACTAAACATTCAAAAGTATCTTATTCCTTTGCAAAATTGTCAAAATTCTAGGACAGTGACGTCACGAGTTGAACAGTATAGCGGCTAGCGTTTTCACGCGAAAATTTAAAACGATAGATTAAAAGTAATTTTTATGTCACTTTAAAAAATTTATATAAAAATTATAGTGGTTCATTATCACTCTAGGACACATATAAAACACTTTTTGAATATGGGTGTAATATTTACTACAGATGCAATATCGACCTTGCCGGCTGAACGAAGAACAGTTGGAGCTACTTTAATATAACTATGTCACTAATCACAACTCACAGCTGTTTTAAACGATGCAAAGGTAAAGCGCGTAGGTAAATAAACAAGAATGAAATGATTTCCATGCGGTATAGTATTTTTATCACGTGTGTGAGGGATGAACAATGCAATTATTTAAATGTAACTATGACATCAAATTGCCTGACACTTTTAAAGCTGTTTAAATTATAGGAAGTGGGAATTATATCAAAATGGAAAAGAAATAACTATTGGAACGGACTCACTCAGTTGATATTAATGATCTTCTAACAGTTTCGGGCTTCAAATTGAGTGCGATCTTGAACAAAGTCTCAAAAAATAGGAATCCCTGCCGAGTATGGAAGGCTCGTAGACGACGACTTCTTAATTTTGTGCCTGAGACCTGAAGATCTCGATTGCTCTGAATTCTTGAATTTTAATTGGCTGGTCGTCTTATAGAGGATCGAAGGACCATATGTTTGCCCAAGATCCTGATCCTAGATGCGGCCTAGATATAGAGGTCAGTGGGCTGCGGCCTATTTAGTAAAATAAATTAATACAAGGCTCTTAAACAACCGAAAATTTCACCATTTCTTAGCCAAAAGAATTTATTACAACTAAACTAAACAAAACTAAACTGCCATTTACATTCCATGGCTTCCCACATGATAGACGAAGTGTTTTAAAAATTGATTGAGTTGTACAATTGATATGTTCAAAAGTTATCGTGTTTACGAAGCCATATGGACTTGATAAATCCACACCGTAAGCCACTAAAACCCGTTTTTTATGTAAAAATCGCAATTAATCGATTAAAAAAAATAATTAATAAGTTAAAAAATCATTTATCTTTCCGACAATGTGCTTTTTATATGTTTTATATGTATAATATGATGATTGCTAGATACAATTTCATGCGATATGCGCTTCGCGCTTAAGGCATGCAATTATATTATTATTATAAATATAAATTATATTATAATATCTGAAAGTTTTAGTTCATGTTTATTGCCGTGTAGTAACAGTGTAAGAGAATCCAATACCCTATATCAGCGGTTCTCATGCTTTTCCGGCGACGGAACCCCTTTTGAAAAACGAAATATTTGACGGAGCCCTAAAATAATCAAAAACTAGTTTTATGCTTATTCTTTATTAATAATCAAATTACGAGACATTAACATATGTATCTAATTGGAGTCATGAAATTGTTTCTGAATTTTCATCAATTGTTATTGTTAGATGTCAGAAGGGAGTTGAAGTCGCACGTCAGGTTTGACATCTAGTCTATTGCGGTATTTAGTTTTTGTAGCTGCGTAGGTTGAGAATCCCCTTAGCACAAGTACGTTATAGGGAACTGAAAAAGAATATTTAAATATAATAATATTTGAATCCATTTCTTTAAATATTATTATATTTAAATAAATGGATTCAATTTTATTTTGGTATTCTCTTCCTTCGAAAAAATACGTCTCATAAGATGCGCGCACTCCATTGAGTTAGGGGAGAGATGGTATACTTGATCCCCGAGGATACATGATCCCCCATTTAAAACTAGCGCCAAAAAGTGTTTTAAGGTGTTCTGTAGGCTGCATTTGGACGCCGCCATGATGGCAAGTACAAATAGTAAACATTAAACCGAAACAACAGCTCGTTGCCAAAATAATTGGAAATTTATGTTTTTACCGGATCTTACTTGTTTTGTTTAGTGTACGACAATTTGAAAAACTTGTGTGTATTTAGCTGTGTAAATTCAATTATTTCCGAGTCAAATGTTTTCATCTTGTTGCTGTTTTTTTTCTTCATTTTAAATAAAGTTACTGCTTCGGGATAGTTGATCCCTTTTGCTAGGGGGATGCTTGATCCCGGAGTCAAGTATCCCACCTATAATTCTTTTGTTTGGGTCAAGAAGTAAATCTCATAACTTCCGTTCTTTTAGATGCCGCGGAAGTACGTATCGAAGCAAGGAGCCATGAAGAGGGTACCTTACGACCCGGAGGCCTTGAAAAATGCGGTCGTAGCAGTTAAAGATGGAGCTGCTTACAAAACCGTCGCAAGAGAATTTAAAATTAATGTCATGACACTTAAAAGGCTATGCCGTCGAGACTCTTATGTTCAAACTGGTTTTACCAATAGACAAATTTTGTCCAAACGTCACGAGGATGAGCTAGGAGCGTATCTTGTTCATATGTCTAAAATGTATTATGGACTTACCGTTGTACAATTGCGTAAGGTAGCTTACCAATTCGCCAAAGCAAATAAGATGAAATACCCCTCTTCATGGGATCACTCGCAACAGGCGGGTCGCGATTGGTATCGTGGATTTTTGGAGAGACAGCAAACTCTATCCTTAAGAACTCCAGAGCCTACCAGCTTGGCGCGAGCGACAGCGTTTAATAAACACACCGTGGCGGAATTTTTTGGAAATTTGACTGCAGTTTTTAATAAGCACGAATTTACTGCCGAAAGGGTGTGGAATATTGACGAAACAGGGGTAACAACTGTCCATAAACCCAGCAAAATTATTGCAGTTAAGGGTTCCAAACAAGTAGGAAAAATGACATCGGCCGAACGAGGTGAGCTGGTTACCGTTTGTGCCTGTATCAACGCTGCCGGGGGCCACATCCCGCCATACATGATATTCCCCCGAAAAAACTGGCAGGATAGGTTCCTCAATCATGCCCCTCCTAGCAGCGATGCAACTACTCATCCTAGTGGATGGATGACGGGCGACAGTTTTATAAAATTCCTCAAGCATTTTGTTCGTCATGTTCAACCCAACGCTGATAGGAAACACCTCATCATCATGGACAATCACGAGAGTCATTGTTCTTTCGACGCCCTCAACTACGCAAAAGACAACGGAATCGTTCTTCTCACAATTCCACCACACACATCCCACAAGCTGCAGCCATTAGACAGGACTGTTTTTGGCCCCTTAAAAACCTTTTATTCTCAGGCAGCATCAAATTTTATGCTGAGACACCCCGGGAGAACAATCACAATCTACGACGTTTCGGAACTATTAGGGGAAGCTTTCCCAAGGGCTATGGTGCCTACCAATATAATTAGTGGCTTCAGGGCGGAATATGGCCCATAAATGCCGACATTTTCACGGAGAGTGAGTTCATGACCAGTTTAGTTACGGACCGCCCTCCCCCTTCTCAACTTGAAGAACCAACACAGAGAAGTGTGATAGCGTCGGACTGCCCTCTCCCTTCTCCACTTGAGGAGCCCGTACAAAGCAGCAGTGTGAGTGAACGCGCTTCCCCATCCTCACTTGGAGGATCAGTGCCGATGCACTTTTCACCACAGGACATCATGCCCTACCCCAAGGCAGGTCCACGCTCGCAGTCGTCGCGCGGGAGAAAGCGAGGACGTACTCGCATCCTAACCGATACTCCGGAAAAAGCAACCATCGAAGAACAATCAAATAAAAAGTTGGCGAAGATAGCAGAGATAGAAATGAAAAGGAAGATTAAAGAAAATAGGCCTACCAAGAAAACAGTGAGACAAATCTTTTCACTAAAAAAATTGACGATGACACCTCATCTGATTCTGATGAATGTCCTCCACTTCCATCATCGTCAGGGGGGGAAGAAGAGTTATGCAGTGATGGCGAGGGTCATAGAGCTTTTGAGCCCATCAGAAAAGAAGTAGGGGAATTTGTAGTTGCAATTTACAATGGTTTGTCATACCCAGGAAAAATTACAAAAATACATGAAAACGGGGCTACAATAAAAGCAATGGAAAAAAGTGGAAGGCTTTGGAAGTGGCCAGCAAGGGAAGACGAAATATTTTATGTGTGGGTGACATTTTGGGACACTTGCCGGAGCCGACGAAATTTTCAAAAACACGTGACTTTTATTCCGTGCCACTTCTCGAATAATTTTCCCATTTATTTTTTGTCTGTGTTTTCAATTTTTTTATGTTGTTTTCATTTTGTACCTACTCATCTTTCGAATCGTTAATTACAACTTATTAAAAGTAGACCTAAGTTTATTTAATTTCCATATTTAGGTAGGCCTATGGCTGAAACTTTGACGGGTGGGATGATTGATCCTCCGGGATCATACAACCCACTCACCGGGATCAAGTATCCCCATAGGGAGGGTTACTTGATCCTTGTGTCGGACTTTAAAAAAACCCTTTTTGTCGTTTTTTTAATAAATAAGAAGGTCTGTATTGGTGCTAAATCAGTAGTATTGAACGGAAATACATGTATGATTTAAAAGAAAGTCAGATTTTTGAAAATGGTTAGTATTACTAAAAGAAAACCAAAACAGGGATCAAGTATACCACCTCTCCCCTATTGGACCACTTTCCGTTGGAATATTACGAAAGATTTTATTTTGTTTTACAAATTTATATATTTTTTAATTTATTTAAACTTTAATGCACAAAAGAAAAATCGTACATATGGCGGACTTGCCTTAAGTATATTTTATGTATATTTTATATTTCAAATATATATAATATTTGCTTAAAACTCTTAAGCATTTTATTCTTATAAGTTTTAAACAATTAACTACGCGGGACCTGATAGTACAAGTATTAACGTTAACGGGGTTAAGTATATTAAAAGACAATTCAGAAAAGAAAAAAAAGCCATTTATTATTTTATAAAACTCAAACAAATTTAATTATCAAACAAATCAAATAATTATTTCATTAGTCTTTTATTTATTTTATCATCTTTGTACAATCCCAGTGCGTTCACTCGATGCCATACAAAAGTCGCGCGGTTGGCAAAGCGTCCTCAACTCCCGGTACGCGTGTAAAAGGTATATTTCTGCTTGCAGCTAACGTTTTAGTATTATTATTAAAATTTTGTAGGCTATTATAGCGTAGGTATTTACGCTTATGTTTGGGAGTGATGTATCTGTTATTCGGTGCTGTTACGTAGTAACATTATTAAATCTGTGCCCTGGCATGTGATACGCTTTGACCTTGATCGTGACGATTGTACTAAAGCAAATATACATAACAATATTAACCATAGCTGCGCGTGCGATTGACCTTGGCGAAAGACATCACAAACATAATATTTTTTACTAAACACGTAATTTCAATTCAATTTAATTAGTATTTTTATACTTGTATAAAGATAAAATAAAATTTAATTATTTTCTGCCGACTTCCAAAAAGGAGACGGTACTCAATTCGACTGTATATTTTTTTTTGTGTGTGTTACCTCACAACTTTTTACTGGGTGAACCAGTTTGGATGATTCTTTTTTTATTTGAAAGCTGGTATTTCTCGTGTAGTCCCATATGAATTTGATCAAGGTCAGACCAATCGTTTTTGAGTTATTCTTAATAACTTATATTGAAGTCGGCTGTACCAAATTTTAAATTTTAAATTATTTGTCTATTATTGAGATGTACCTATATGAGATGTAAATATTGATCAAAGAAAATTAGTTCAATTGGTTTAAAGTAAACTATTGTGACTTACCAGAGGAACTTACCTCATTCCCCTCTTCCCCGTGATTGGAAACCGACGTCGATACTTAAAAATAAGGAAAATTAAACGTGATAAAATACGTAAAAATAGTTTTATTCAATGTGTAGTGTTGGCGTAAATATAACACTTAAATAATTTATGAAATATTTATTCAATTTTAATGATTTTAATTATTAATCTATGGAAAATTACAATAGATATTTTGATTCGCGCACCCTCAAATTGCAAGTAACGGATTATTAAATCGGAAATGAAGGACTTGAGTCGGATACGCACATGACATGAAGTTCGCGGTAACTACCGTGGAAAAATCTAGCCTACTTATAAAATATATAATAATCTATGTGCTATTTGATCCCGCTGGGACGAGTTCTTATTTATTTTAAGAACAAAAAGTTATTCTAACTTGATTATTTCCCGATTCTTCAGCAGCTTAACAACAACTTCAAAATAATAAAAGCTGTGGTTGTGAACCCGCCTGCCAAGCATGGCATATGGTGGCAATCCTGTGAATTATATTGAACTTTGACAGGCTGTACTTAATGAATGGATGAATGAAATCAGTCGTTCTCTCCGCAAACAAAGAAAGTGTCTTTAAAAGGCTATAGGCTTTTACTGAGAAAATGATTCAACACCCAAGACTACACCACTACTTACCATAAGTTTTTTTTTATAGAAGAGGGGGCAAACTAGGGTGCAGCTCACTTGATGGTAAGTATAGACCGCCGCCCATGAACAACTGCAACACTAGGGGAATAACAGGTGCGTCGACCACCTTTTAAAAGGGAAGTTCATTTCTTGAATTTGGATCCTAGTCAAGCATTAGTTTCTAATTTATAATATAAACTAATGCTTGACTAATAGAATATAATCTAAAATCCGACATATTATGCCGAATAAGACCTATCCATATTATTTTGGTGATATCCCGGACGTCAGTCCGATCCACTCTCTCTGCTGTGCTCTAGCATCATCTTTAAAACAAGTAAAATCTGTGAAAGTTATAATCTAAATTTTTAATTTTTGCGTAAGTACTACAAAGAGGTGGACTTAAGAAGTAATCTGCTGAGGTCACTACTTCATGCAAGTAGTTTTGAAGTAGTTGCAGCTTCCGTGACAGCTGCTGAAGTTGCGTATCTGGAATCTCGTCAGCTTACTTTTCGATAAACGGGCAAAAGGAGACATCTACGGATCATCTTCTTTGATTGACTGTATCTTGCGCTCTACGGATTACAGTCCGTACAAAGTTTTTTTACCTACTATATGTTTTGTTAATAAATTAATTTATTATAGTTTAAAACAAAGTCGCTTCCCGCCGTCTGTACGTTTACATCTTTTAATCTACGCAACGATTTTCATTAATAGACAGAATAATTCAAGAGGAAGGTTTATATGTAGATTAATACATGAATATTATATATTATATAATTCTTCTGTCCGTATGTATGTGACTGAACTCCTCCTAAACTGCTGGACCGATTTTGATAGAATTTTGTGTGTGTTAATAAGTTGATTAGAGAATGGTTTATATTAACAATTGGAACCGGTAGGTGGCGTTGTCGTTTAAATCCAGAAGTCAACCGCGCGAAGACGGTGCGAATCGTTAGTTTACTATATTCTTAAAATATAAATTATTTATATGCTATCATTTTATATTAATTTACTGTACGTAGTTTATCAACGTGATCAGTTGATTTAGCTACAAGCAAATTATGTCGGCTCCGAAATCCAAAAAAAGGTCTGTCGATCTGGATACCAAGATAGTCTACTTATTACAGGACAAGGTTGTATGCGATACGTACTAACTACTCCAATCATCATCACTAGGAAGAATTCCATTTCTGCCAAGCGATATTTGCGTTGCCACACTTGGCAGGCGGGTTGGCAACCGCAAGTTTTTAATTTTTCATTCTTATTACGAACACGCTGCTGCCCATCTCCTGGATAGTTTCACTTTGATGTCTCTTATGACACTGACGGGTCGATATGGATTATTGGATAATCTGACACCGCCACTAAACGCTATTATATGAAAGTTTGCCTATTTGCAATTTACACATGTAAACACCTCAATGATACGGGAGAAAACATTAAAATTAAAAAAAACTTCTTTAATTTAAAAATATTTTAATTGTCGAGTTAATATCACAGAAATGTTATATTTTTATTAATAAACACAATATTTTTAATACTTGCAAAGTACACGGAACTAACCTTAGATTTACAAATCAAGGAAGCAACGATTGAGTTCTTCGTCACTCATTGTCACAAGTCTAACTGATTCTTCCCACAGCTGCTTCGCAACTGTCTCGTTGTAAGCATTCCAGTGCGCTGACGCCTGCTTGCAGTTTTTGAAGAATTCCCCGCTAACTTCACCGGCCTTCTTATCCATCGCTACGTGGATAGCAGTTTGAGCTCCTTCCCATGGTGTTTTAAACATATTATAAAACAGAAACTTTATAATCGCACCTCTGATGGGACCAAACGAATAAAAAATATTTGTGCCAACTGCGCCGGGATCGACAGAATTAATAACGACATGCGTGTCCTTGCTGCCCCTCAACCTACAAGTAAGTTCTCGAGCGAACAATACCAGAGCTAGCTTACTGTGCGCGTAGATTTGAAACTTGTACC